ATGAGGAAAAATGAAGAGTGTACTCTGGTTCGCGGTTTCAGTGCCGAAGTTAACCGACGCCCAGCAACCGGCAAAGTGCGCGCCGCGCCGAGTTTGAATAACTTCATTGGAAAGCGCGCAGTTTATTGAAACCGGAGAAATCACCGGTTACTAATTTGTAATTCGTGTTTCATTGTTCCTATTTAACTGGTACGCTCCGCGACCGCGTGTTCCGCTAAACAGACTTCGAGGCGCGTCGTCGAAACAGTACCGCAATTTCTGTGCGAGATATTGAAAAATGTGGAGCGAAGAAAAATATATACAATAAAGGAACTCATTTCCTCTCTGGAGGTAACACCGCGCGCCGTTCGCGGGGGGTGAACGGCACCCCGCGCAAAAATTAATAGTAGGAATAATAGGCTTTCCTTGGCGCGAGAAATAAAAATTACCGGTTGCTGCGCGTGCGTATACGTGATTGTTTCGCCGGAAGCGAAAATTGTCGATTACCAGAATTGTTATTATAACCTCGCTTGACTGTGGACGACGCGTACACGCGTTATAAACAAATGGCGATTTTACATCTTACAATGAAAATACTTCGACGACGATTTAGGTTAAAATGCTTGCGAAATATTTCCATAAATTTCGCACATTTTAGAATAATGCCTCGAATACAATTCGTATCGATGTTATTTGTGAATGCTTTCGTTTTGCTTTTCGAAGCAGACTGTCCAAATAGTCAAAATAGTCACAAAATTGAAATATTATTAGACAACGGATCTTCGTCCAAATATCACATTTTTCTAATCTACTCTTTATGTGAGTTTGAACAAGCGACTAACCGAGTTCTAAAATAGTTCTAAAATAGTCGGTAACTAAAACACTGACTATTTTTACTAAAATACTAAAATACATGCGTTTTAGTGATTTCCTACAATCGTCGCGTTTTCTAAGTGAAAATCGGTATAATAATATAATAATATTATAATAATAATATATATATATATATACTAATATAATATAATATATAGTAGTATAATAAATAAGTAAAAATAAATACAATAAATAACTAAAAATGGATATAATAAATACGTAAAAATAAGTATAATAAACGACGATCGCTGTAAAATTCGCTGTATGTTCACCGCCAAGAGCCAGAATCCTCCACAACACGATAACAAACGAGCCGCGAGGCTCGAATAATCGTGTCCCCTCTCCCCGAGTCGTCCATTTTCGTTTCGAAGCCGAGGGACAATTGTGGAGAATTGACTGTATCGCGGAAAATCGTAACGATACAGTATTCCAGCAGACTCTGAAATAAAAAGGGCCAAACCCCTTGAACAACAAAGGGTTAAAGAACGCCTTTCACCCGCAATCGCTGCGCGATCTTCGTTCCCTGGGGGAGGAGGGTTGTCCCCCCAGATTTTTATCCCTTTTTCTGTTCGATTTTCGGCGTCTTTCGTCTGTCATCTTGGGACGAAAATACCTCGCGGGCGCCACGAGGAGAGCCCCTTTCGTCCTCGAATTCCTTGGCATTCAACGATCCAGGAAAGAGAACCTCATCCCCCCCCCCTCCCACCCCCTGACCCCTCTCCATCTTTCGTACAACGTGCACGGTAATTTTCGGATTACTTAGGCTTATTACTTACGGTTATCGTCGCGGCATCCTTTTTTCGTGGCATTTGCGGTCCCCGCGGCCATTGTGAGGACGCGCGTTGTACCCGCGCGCCCCTTTCGCCCTTCGTCGTATATACTCTCTTCGTGGAAAATCGAGCCTCGGAACACGCGCCGAACCGCGCCGCCCTTGTTGAAGATTGTTCGGGCGTCGCGGCACGGAATTTCGACAATCGGGGGGCCGAGGTTACCTAGCCGAAGTGAACCGTTCACCGTGTCCCGAGGGCCATCTCGACTTGGGGTCATTTCACAGGTAGAGACCCTCGAAATCGTTCGCGGAAACGTTCACGGGCCGTTCTGCATCCGTCAGGTTAGGCTGTGTCCTTCGAACTACTCTTTCTATCTTCGCGAACAACCGTTCGGAATCTCGAAGGCTTGCGGAAAAGAATTCGACAAGATTGGATGGAGAAATCTTTATTAGATAATAATAATAATAATAATAATATATAATAATAATAATATTAATAATAATATAATAATATAATATAATAATAATAGTATAATAATATAATATAATAATAATAATATAATAATATAATATAATAATAATAATATAATAATATAATATAATAATAATAATATAATAATATAATATAATAATAATAATAATATCGTAATAAGTAATAATAATATATATATACAGGGTGTCGCAAAAATGTCTCGCAATCCGGAAATGACGGGTTCCTCGGATCATTTGAAGCAACTTCTTCCTTTACAAAAATGTTCTCCGAGGCACCGTTAACGAGTTATCAACGAAAAACAGCGACCAATAAGAATCGAGTACGGCTGACGCGAGGCGGCCCAGCCAACCGGCGCGCGAAGCCCGGTCCCGCTCATTGGCTCGGTCGCCTCGCGCCAGCCGAGCTCGCCTCTCATTGGTAACTGTTTCTCGTTAATAACTCGTTAACGGTACCTCGGAGAACAATTTTGTAAAGGAAAAAGTTGCTTCGAACGACCCGAGGAACCCGCCACTTTCGGATTGCGAGACATTTTCGGGACACCGTGTATATAAGCATGTCCAAGAAACGAAATACATTGTATTTACTCGCCGATGTCAGAATCGAGCGTCGTCTTCGTTTAATTGTACTCGGATGCTCGTGGTCAAGAAATCGGCGAGCAAGCAAAAGTTCGAGCGGCCGTATTACGGAATGAAATACTGCTTTGCTAACTTTCTGCCCCATACAAGGGTAAAGTGTCTCGAGATCGAGTTACTCGCCGAGATAAGTGAACTGTGCTGCAACGATAAGCCCTCGTTCGATCGAGCACCGCTCAGGATATAAAAAAGAAAATAACGAATAGAGAGGAGATCATCTGCTGTAAAAAGTGTTCTTCAGAATGGCCGAGAGACGGTCTGCGGTGACCAGAGAAAGAAGAGAACACTTCCGCGTTCAAGGTCTCCCACGTCCGTATAGGCTACACACATGGTCGCGATGCGTTTGTAATCGAAGGAATTGGGTTATCCAAAAGAGTTCGCACCGATTTTCAGGAACTACCCATTTACGGATTGCGAGACATTTTTGGGACACCCTGTATACAGGCTGGTTGTCGGTTGTAAACATGTATATAGGTGTATACAGGTTTGTTGTCACTTCTATGTAACTGGAGAATCGACGAAAAATTATGCTAATCATTGCACCGTGAATTGGTTCCTTTAATGTTTAAAAAAAGATTCATGTCAATTATACTATATATAATACTATTTGCCAGGGGTTGAATTCAATTATAAAATTGTAGACGTTACCACAGGAGCAGACAGCAGGCGACTGGGTAAATTTTAGGACATACTTTTTATATTTATAACAGATATGTTATAATATATTTATATTAATAATAATAGTAATTTATATAATAATAATAATATATATAATGATATATTATAATATTTTTATATTAATAATAACAGTAATATATATAATAATATAATAATAACATATATAATGATATATTAATAATAATAATATATATAACAATATATTAAAAATAATAATATAATATTATTAACAATAATAATAAAATATATTAATATAATAATAATATATATTACAATATATTATATTAATTATAACACAACAGAGATAGATCCCGAAATTTGAGAATACGTTTTCGTTTCCGCTAAAATATATTACAATTCCCTAAAATTCACAATTAACAAATATACTCGTCGCGACACAAAATACTTCCACTCCTCCGTGACGAGTATACTCGTCGTGACACAACGAACCGGTTAAACTCATCGAGAAGACACTGCTCGCGTAGAATTTCCAAAGATTCCGGCGATCGCCGAGCACGCCGAATGTAAAATCAATAATTTTTCCCGAAGACGTCGACGGTGTGTGGGGGGAGAGGGAGAGAGGTGGGGGGTCGCATTCGCGGCGGCGGATGAATTCTCGAACTTCCGGCTAGAAAATTTCGCTGGGAATCGCTGGAGGTCTCGGTCCGGTAATTCTTTCCGGGGAAAATAACAGAAGGAGCGTGTTTCCGCGTGAATTTCGGTTAAGCCTGGCCCTCGGAAGGCCCGCGGCGGCTTCGAAAACCCCTAAGGACGAGAGCGAATCTACGCCCCCACATTTTCTGGCTTCCTTCCCCGGCCGCGTCCCGCCCCGCCGCGCGCCGCGGCCGCCGCTGCTACCCGCTCGGCTAGCAGCTACCCGCGCCACCCACGCCCACCCGCTACCCGCTACCCGCCGGCCACCGACGTCCATCCCCCCGCCGCGGCGGGTTCTCTCCCCCGTTGTTTCTGCCGCCCGGTCGTTCCCCAGCGAGAGAGCCCCGGCGAGAGAGGAGGCTCTCTCCTTCCGAGAATCGGTCGCGCGTTTTTCGCTCGCCCACGGCGCTGCGGATAAACGGGCCGGCGAGGGAACAATTAAACGCGATGGAAATTATACCGGGTGGCCGATTTTCGTGCGCCTCGAGAGCCCTCGGAGCACGACGCTCGTGCTCTCTCACTACGCGTGCCCGTTGAACCTCCGCCACGAAACTTCACGGAATATATAGGAAATATCGTTTCGGGACCGGAAATCTTTACGCGTTGTTTTCGGCGTATATTGGTATATATATCCAGCGTATATTTGTTGACGACGCGGTTTTTAGTTTCGCATAGGTTCAGAATTATTTCGGGCGCCGGTCGCGCGGATTGGATTTATGCGAACTTCGTAAGAGTTCTGTTGATAACTGTAAAATTCGTCGGTGTTGAACGAAAGTAAAAATTATAATCTTTTTCTTTATTATGATATTATTTATATTGTGTCATATTGTGTCTAAATTTATATACATAAACATCCGCGGTCTAGTTATAATATTTAGTTGACGGATGGAGAGTGCAACGAAAATTACTAAAAATATGTTAATACGTCTTCAATGAATGTTTCTAATAATTTCTTATAGAAGTATTTCTCTGACATCAGGAATTGTAGAAGAAAATATTAGAGATTTTACTCGGTTTTTTTACTTTTACTTTGGAATTTTTAATGTCTTTTATATTCAATACTGCAGTTATTGGGTTTGTTTATTTATTCCGTTCACGATCTGAAATTCAGATAGCATCATACAGAACGAAACTAATCTATAGTAAATATATATTATTGTTTGATTTGTGTATGTAGTGTTTTACCTTCTGATTATCTTTATTTTATTTTTATGTCAAATAGGTTATGTCATTAACTCAACGATCTCAGAATATATTGAAAGCTTTAGAACTTCGATTCCCAAAATAGCTACACAACAGTGCACAAGAACTTGTGCTTACTTTCCAGTAAATAGATACAAATCTGTGTTTATCTCGGTATTGAGAAGAGATTTCAGCCTCTCTGTCCTTTCTACTGGCCCTCGAATCGTTTCTCTAACCCCAAAAACGTTCAGATACTGTGACTGTCACTTAAAATCGTGCACCTAGAAATTCAGAAAATGTTCACTTATAAAACGTGATAATTGCAAGAAATTACTAAAACGTATTTATATATAAACATGTATTTTAATACTTCTTTATTTAATATATAACAACAATGGAACAAAACTTTTGATAATTATTAGTAAATTAAATAAAATTTGTCGTTACGTATAGCACTAAACCGTCGGTAAAAATCGTACAATGCATTTCCAACAGATTATAGTCGCCGAGGAATTGATTTGATTAAATAAATCGCAAAATTGCTGTGTTATTTTTTCACCATTTCTTTAGACTTTCTTTATTAGTAACATTATATAATCGTATTCTGCTTACCAATTCATTCCACGCACGTTCCATCAAAGAACTGTACGACAGTTGTACAATAATCAACCTCTCGTAAAATTAAAAATGATTCAAAAGCCCTATTTTCTCTAAGCACTATCCTTCAAGCTGTTGTTTTAATATACTTAAATTACTCCTTCTTCTACAATTATCGCACAATTTTACAAGCGGCAAATCTGCGGAATTCCTGGTTACGCGACTTTAAGTGACACTCGCGCGCTGCACATCAAACATAACCTCGGCATAACCTTAATAACATCCGTCGCCTCGCTTCGCCTCTGTAAACGCATTCGCGAACGCGATTTGTCAATCCCGAAGAGCCGAAACACACCGCAGAAAACGCGAATCACTAGGGAATTTTTCTTTCCATTGTCGCCTGGAATGTCCTTGAAATGTCTTTGACGCGTTGTCGCGCGTAATAACGAAATAGCCGCGTAATTGTCGGAGCACCGAGTACGATCGGGAAATACGGCGGCGGCCACGGATACCCGGTGATTCCCGAAACGTCGGGGATTCCGCGAATTGCTCGCGGGGCCGAAAACGGGACACCCAGTACACGGGTATAGCGGATCGATTCCCCCTCACCTTTCATCAATAGCTCCGGTGCTCGCGGCGTTAGGAGAGGCTACGTTCCACGGGGAAAAACTCTGGGCCGAAAAGCAGGCCGCGTCGGCGACGCCGTTCGCCCGCCCGCCCGTCTTTCTCCTACGTGCTGGTTAGCCAGTTAGCTCGCGTCCCTCGTTACCGATCAGCCCATCAACGATTCGAGCGTGCTCGAAACGTTTCGTCACACATCTGTGTGTGCGCTACGTGTGGGACCCGGCCGATAACAAATTTCCTACTTCGATGTGTGCCTGTGTCTCTGCCTTTATTTTATTTTACCGGATAGAAACAAAACCGGACGAAAATATATATTTAGAATGTCCAGCGGTGCGACGATATCGGAGATAATGTGAAAAATGTGTAATACCGTCGAAGAATGTTTCGACGACTACGAACGAGTAGGAAAACTTACGTCATACTTGGAAGAAACCAAATTGTTTAGCGGTATTATATGGTAACTTTAAGAAGGCTCCATTAAGAAAATAATGAAGAAATTTAATACAAAGTTATTGTGTGTGTATATGTTATACTATATATAATTATTATTTATACTATATTAATTATTATAGTATATATTATAGTGCATGCTATTATATAACTATTGTATATATTGTACTATAATAATTATTATTTATACTATATTAATTATTATACTAAATATATTATAGTATATATTATAGTGCATGCTATTGTATAACTATTGTATATATTATACTATAATAATTATTATTTATACTATATTAATTGTTAATTACTAATAACTATTATTATTCATTATTAATTACTAATAACTGTTGTTATTAATTATTAATTACTGATAACTATTATTATTCATTATTAATTACTAATAACTGTTATTATTAATTATTAATTACTGATAACTATTATTATTAATTATTATTATTATAATTAACTATTATTAATTATTAATAACTCTACAACTGTAGTTCCACAAATAGTCGCTAATTGCTATCAAGCAGATGCGAAATTAAATATAAATAAATAAATATATATATATATTCGCGCAGATTTTCGACGGTTTCGATCATAATATTCGGCCGAAGAGACAAACCGAACGGATTCATTCTCCGCGAACGTGTTTATGGTCTGAGTAATCGTAAATTAAAGGCCAAGACACATCGGCGAGAGATACGATCGTATAATTGCGCGTCTGCTACAAATTCCGATTAATAACCATTGAAAACCTTGTTTCCCTAAACGGAAGCATTAAATTCACGGCTACAGCAATAAACCGAGATAAACGGGGGGGAAGGGGAGGATCTCGGGCCGTGTGCGCGAGAAACGAAGGTGTTACGACATCTAAAATTTATATAAAATATCAATCTCCCCCCCCCCCCCCCC